CCAGGAAAGTCTTATGCGGAGACGGCGAGGGACATGGACAGAAAGTTCCTTAAGTGCTGGACTCCGAAGGAGCGAGGTCGGTCGAAGAGGTCAAGGAACTAATGGTCATGGAAAAGTTTATGTCCGTGCTCTCTCCTGAGATCAGGGTGAGGGTAAAGGAGGCGGACATAAAGAACCTGAGGGCCGCAGCCGACCGAGCCGACATGTTAGAGGAAGCACTACGCCCAAGCCGAGAGGGACAGCACCGATCACCCGAGTACTCCGGAAGCAGTAGGAATTATAGGAGGACGGATGGATGGAGGACAGAAGCGAGTTCTCCCAAGTCCCACCTCTCGAGATGGGACGACAGAGGAACAAAAGGTGCTGTAGAGCCGATAGAGAAGAACCAAGCTGAGAGCTCGGGAGCTATTGCTGCAACGAAGGAAACGACAAGTGGGGCGAGAAAGACACAGGGAGCGACGGCCTCTGAAGGCAGTGCTAAGGCGAGCGGTCGCGGATGGTCTCCGCCGAGGGTCCGCTGCTACAACTGCGGAATAATCGGACACGTCGCGCGGGAATGCAGACGCCCTAAGCAGCGGGGACACGTTGCTTTAGTGATGTTTGAGGACCAGAGGGCCGAGAGAGTGCGGGATGAACCCGTGCTGGATGGGGAGAAGAAAGTTCACCCATTCATGTGTCAAGGAACCGTAAGGATGGGGGACGCAGACCCCATCCCAGTGAAGATGCTAAGAGACACTGGGGCTGATTTTACCCTGGTGAGTGAAACCCTGTTCCCCGAGGGTTACGAAAGTACCAGTGTGGGGGTGGCAAGTGTGACCACTGTGGGAGGCCCAGTGAGGATGCCCCTACACCAGGTAACTTTGGATTCCGATTATGGCTGCCAGACCCTAGTGGTGGGAGTGTGTACATCAATGCCCAAGATGGAGGCACAGGTCATCTTGGGGAATGACGCATGTGGAGGATATGTCCTTCCGAGTCTTGTGAAAGGCGAAGAGTGCCTAGAACAATACAAGGAGACAGGCGGAGAGTTGAACGCCTGTGGGGGCGAGAAGGGAATCGCACCGGTGCCGTTCCCAGTTTGTGCTGTGACGCCGAGATAGTGCGAAGAACATGGAGGTTGTGGATCTGATGGGGCTGACGAGACGTCCGACGGCCTGGGAACAGATCACCTCTTCGTAGGACCCGGAGAACGAGCGGAGGCCGAAGGTAGCCCGAATGGTGAGTTGCAGGTGACCCTCACCAGTTCTCTAGTGGTAGACCGCACTCGTCTCGGAGAGTTGCAGCAGGAGGAGTTCCCCGAATTTATTAGTGAGGCCAAAGGAGGACGTGTGGGTCCTGAGAAGGCTTATTTTCCATTTATCTATATTATATGTGCCATACTGTCCATGCTGAGGGAACAATGGACACCAGGAGCGACCGTGGGAACGGTGAATGAATATGTCCAGAAGTTCAAAGAACGTCTCACCCTAGCGAAGGAACTGGCTGGGAAACACCTGAAGGAGGCGCAGCGTAAGATGTCGGAGTGGTACGACAAGAGAGCTGCGCAGAGGGATTTCCAGGTCGGATCCCAAGTGATGGTTTTGCTGCCAGGTAAAGGTAGGGTGACCGAGTCGCGGTTCGAGGGACCATACCAGGTGCTGCGACGGTTGGGTCCGGTGTCGTACGAGATTGGGAAGCCGAACAGACCCCGAAAGAAACAGGTGTGTCACGTAGACCGCCTGAAACCTTTCTTCACTGTGGAAGGAGGAGCCGCCAGGCAGGACGGAACGATTACCCGAGAACCCCAGCGGAAGACGGTTCTGTGTGTACAGGGGGACCGAGAACTCCCAGAGGAGGAAGGAAAGTGGTCCAGGGCGGACGGCACCCGTCTCACCAACACTGAGATTCTGACAAAGATCAAGATCAAGCACATCAAGGGGAAGGACAACCTAGTAGCGGATGCCCTTTCCCGCATACACTAACCAGACATGACTCTTGTTTTAAGGGGAGGGGAATGTGACGGTGTTCCCTCCCTTATAATTCTCCCACGCCTGCAGTAAGAGTCATGTCCACTTTACCCAAGCGTTCTCTGGGTCGCAGGCATCAATTTGATATATGGGAGACAGTGGAGTGTTCTCGGAGAGCCGAGAAATTTGTGAAACAGTAATATTTTGGCCTGTGGTTTAGGCCCTTTAGGAAGCCAAGATGGCGCTGGCTCTCCTGTTTCCCCGCCAAAACGGTGTGACGTCAGTGGCACCGGATTGGTCACCGACAGCAATGTGGCACCGAGAGCCAATGAAAACCTCCCGTGGCGAAAGTGACGTCACGAAGGAAGGGGGGTCCGGGCAGCGCGCCGCGCTGGCGCCATCAGTCAGACACGACACGTCAAGGAGGTTGGACGTGCGATGATTGGTCCTGTCAGTTTGACAGTTGTTTCCCGCTCCCATGGATTTACGCGTCACCTGAAGTCTGCCAGTACTCTGTGAGGTATTCCCTAGTTCATGTGTTGAACCAGAGAGGGAATCGACGGTTATTGAGCAACAAGTGCTCCAGGACAGGTACTGTGCAAGGAGGAGTGAAGACTGTGCTTGACGTAGGCGACGTCTGAGGCAGTTCACCCATTCGAGATGGCGTAGTGTCTGTCCAGAGCCACAGGGTAGCAAAGGAAGAATAGGACTAGCTGGGAATCCGGACGACTGCAGCCGAGACGTAGGCGGCAGCCGCAGCTGGGAGAAGTCGACGGCCAGGAGACCGACTCCAACCCTTCAAGAAGTCGAGAAGGAGCATGGACCTGCAGGGAAGAAGGCACGGAGACGACGCGCTAAACGGTGGGACGACGAGTGGTTCCGGTAGGACACGACAACGTGTGTGTGGGGGCGTTCCCGACACGAGGACCAGGAACTACAACTCAACTCTCATCGGAGGATAGGTGGAAGTAGGGGTTTCTAGTTTCCCTCCCCATTCCCCTTTAGTTAGTTATATTATTCGGCTATATTATCTAGCCTGAGGATTTTGTATGTCGTGAGCAAGTCTCACCAATGTCACAGTAAGGCACCAGTGTGCAGGATAGTACTATCAAGAGTACTTATAATATTTATGTTTATCATTGGTGTGTACAGGCACCCGGAACAAGTGATAAATTTACTGTGTTTTGTATATCTTTCTAGAGACTTTGATGTGAACATATAGTGATAAATTATATATAATATTATGCCAGTATTTGGAAGTTAGGCTATGTGCCCAGAAACTATTTATTTACCATTTATTGATGTCTGATTTATATGCATTATATATATCTATGTTCATGCAGTGGTTAATCATTTGTGAGTACAGTGAATTATTGAGTTATCGCCCACGAGAGAAAGTACTGAAAACTCCAGTGTTAAATGCTTCATAATATATCATTGAATGAAGGGCAGTGAAAACCATTACAGTGAGTCATTGTCGCATTGATTGTAGAAACGACTGTTTGAGCCCGAGTACAGTGTAACTAAGTAATACGTGCTATTGTTACCAATATCGAGTGTGCGAGTTTCTAGTAACATTGGAGAACTTAAAGAAACAGCGCGCGTGAATCTAGAAAACAAGCAATAAGCTTTCGCGCGGAGCCAGGCGCTCAGCTGATCTTGACATTGACGAGAGGGGGAGGTGTTGCCACTTAGTGAGTGCATAATATTCGTGGGAACGACCGGGCTACAGCCAAGATCAGCTGATTTATTTATTGATATGACCTTGTGACATCTTTCATGAATTTTAAGTAAAATACAAAATTACTTTTGTGTTTATATCATCCCCTCCATTGATCTTGTGGCTATATTATACTGGAAAGCAAAGAGTGATAAAAGTAAGTACCTGCCTGATTCCTGATCTTTTGAGTGTGACCTTGCCAAGGCTACCACTAATTCAACCAGTCCACTGAGGTGTTACTGGACACCGAAAACACCAGTTGGCGACCTTGTGGTTAATAGTAAAGCCCTCTTGTTGGGGCGGTCCACACAACAGTTAAGTAAACAAGAAGTGTGTTCCCACTCCTTCTCAATCAGAAGGCCGGTTGGGATTGACTGGGATACTCTCCTGGCGTGCAGTGGCGCCGAGAGGATTAGAGTGAAGACCCGCAGGGCTACGGTGAGTGACCTTGAGATACCGTTGCTCACCCAGAGTAAGAGCAAGAGTAAGTGTAAACTCCAACAATATATATATATATATATATATATATACAAGAAGGTACAATGAGTTTATGAGAGTACAAAGCATTGATGTTTCACATTCTTGTAAAGCCACTAGCACACATAGTGTTTCGGGCCTTTGATCTCGTATTGGCATCCTTAGTGATACTTAGCGCCGTTTGAATATTCAGCGACACTGATACACTGATGGTGCTACAGTCTAGCGCCTTCTTTTGATAATCACTTTCTAATCAACACAACTTGGTATGGGTCCATAGCAGAGTGATACTAAGCATTTACGTGTTCACTTACGAATTCTCTACATTCTTCTTCAATCATAGCGGTAAAGTCTGCATTTATTAAACAGTTTACGAACTTGTAAAATCTTCGACTCAAGGTTGTTATTCCTATAGATGACCTTGTAGTACATCATAGCTCCTAAACTGTTAAATATATCCAAACTCAGCTGCCATGAGCGAGGAAAGATGTTCAGGTTTAGCACATGGACACACTAATAATTTATGGATCCAATTTCAGGGCGGAGTCGCCAGACAGCTGCGTGGACAGCTCTTCGGATTTGTAGTCCTGAGGTTCCGGGTTGGATCCCCGGTGGAGGCGGAGACAAATGGGCAAAATGTTTCTTTCACCTGATACCCCTGTTATCTAGCAATAAACAGGTAGCCATTAGGTGCAGGAAACATGCCCAATCATATCTGTTCCACCTAGGAATCAAACCCAAAATCCCCGATTGTGAGTCGAGAACCAAGGTTGTTAATAGCTGTACTACGCGACCATTCTCGTAGAATATGCCGTATAAAGCACATTATATAATGGATAACTTGTACATTATTGCAGGATCGAAGGCTGAGCTGAGGGTATGTCTGGTGATGGAGCTGAAGGTCAAGACAGACGGAGGAGTGAGCTTCGTGCTGCCTACCGTCCTCAACCCCCGCTATACTCCACGGAGCCTTCATCACATGGGTAACTGTATCTCGGTCTCACGCTACTTTTGTAGTGGTGCCTGTCCTGACCACTACACCAATGATCATCACTGTTGTTATCATTACCATACCCTGTATGCGTGATCCCGGTCAGCAGGGGTTCGAAGCCTGGACGGGTCATGTAGAGTTCTTAATGATAATATACATATAAATATATATATATATATATATATATATATATATATATATATATATATATATATATATATATATATATATATATATAATCTTTGGACAACACCCACCAGTGGGACTCGAACCCAGAAAGCACAACTACCTTCCAGTAGCTGCCATAACTAGTATGCTTTAACCTACTACACCATCAGACCCTACAAAAGAAGTAGAGACTTCGAGATATATATACATCTCAAATATCTCCACTTCCCGAGGGCACCAGATGAGTGTGAGGTTAGTCTGCATTTTTCGTCAAGCCACTGTCAATGTGAGAGAACTCGTGTCCAGCTTATAAGCCTATACTTGCATAAACCACAAGTGAAGATTAATAATCTTTGGACAACACCCACCAGTGGGACTCGAACCCAGAAAGCACAACTACCTTCCAGTAACTGGCTTATAAGCTGGACTCGTGTCCAGCTTATAAGCTGGACACGAGTTCTCTGGGGCTCTGGGGCTACATTCTTTGGGGCTCTGGGGCAGTTTTCATTCGCATATAGTCCTGGGGACCATTCAGGCTTGTTCGCATTTGTGTTCCTCACGTGTGCCCCAAAGAATGAGGTGATTTGGTGAAATGCTATGCCCAAGATTACCATCCGAGTTGCCGTCGGGGAAGTGGCTCAAATAGCCTTGGCTATCACTTCCTTTTGACGGCCGTGATGGTCAAGTGGATTAAGGTGCCCTGTAGTTACCAGTTGCGTTGCTCCTGGGAGTATGGGTTCGAGTCACTTCTGGGGTGTGAGTTTTCATTTGCATATAGTCCTGGGGACCATTCAGGCTTGTTCGCATTTGTGTTCCTCACGTGTGCCCCAAAGAATGAGGTGATTTGGTGAATTGCTATGCCCAAGATTACCATCCGAGTTGCCGTCGGGGAAGTGGCTCAAATAGCCTTGGCTATCACTTCCTTTTGACGGCCGTGATGGTGAAGTGGATTAAGGCGCCCTGTAGTTACCAGTTGCGTTGCTCCTGGGAGTATGGGTTCGAGTCACTTCTGGGGTGTGAGTTTTCATTCGCATATAGTCCTGGGGACCATTCAGGCTTGTTCGCATTTGTGTTCCTCACGTGTGCCCCAAAGAATGAGGTGATTTGGTGAAATGCTATGCCCAAGATTACTATCCGAGTTGCCGTCGGGGAAGTGGCTCAAATAGCCTTGGCAATCACTTCCTTTTGACGGCCGTGATGGTCAAGTGGATTAAGGCGCCCTGTAGTTACCAGTTGCGTTGCTCCTGGGAGTACGGGTTCGAGTCACTTCTGGGGTGTGAGTTTTCATTCGCATATAGTCCTGGGGACCATTCAGGCTTGTTCGCATTTGTGTTCCTCACGTGTGCCCCAAAGAATGAGGTGATTTGGTGAAATGCTATGCCCAAGATTACCATCCGAGTTGCCGTCGGGGAAGTGGCTCAAATAGCCTTGGCTATCACTTCCTTTTGACGGCCGTGATGGTCAAGTGGATTAAGGCGCCCTGTAGTTACCAGTTGCGTTGCTCCTGGGAGTATGGGTTCGAGTCACTTCTGGGGTGTGAGTTTTCATTCATATATATATATATATATATATATATATATATATATATATGTCGTACCTAGTAGCCAGAACGCACTTCTCAGCCTACTATGCAAGGCCCGATTTGCCTAATAAGCCAAGTTTTCCTGAAATTATATATTTTCTCAATTTTTTTTCTTATGAAATGATAAAGCTACCCATTTCATTATGTATGAGATCAATTTTTTTTATTGGAGTTAAAATTAACGTAGATATATGACCGAACCAAACCAACCCTACCTAACCTAACCTATCTTTATAGGTTAGGTTAGGTTAGGTAGCCGAAAAAGTTAGGTTAGGTTAGGTTAGGTAGGTTAGGTAGTCGAAAAACAATTAATTCATGAAAACTTGGCTTATTAGGCAAATCGGGCTTTGCATAGTAGGCTGAGAAGTGCGTTCTGGCTACTAGGTACGACATATGTGTATATATATATATATATATATATATATATATATATATATATATATATATATATATATATATGTCGTACCTAGTAGCCAGAACGCACTTCTCGGCCTACTATGCAAGGCCCGATTTGCCTAATAATCCAATTTTTCCTGAATTAATATATTTTCTCAAATTTTTTTCTTATGAAATGATAAAGCTACCCATTTCATTATGAATGAGGTCAATTTTTTTTTATTGGAGTTAAAATTAACGTAGATATATGACCGAACCTAACCAACCCTACCTAACCTAACCTATCTTTATAGGTTAGGTTAGGTTATGTAGCCGATAAAGATAGGTTAGGTTAGGTAGTCGAAAAAACATTAATTCATGAAAACTTGGCTTATTAGGCAAATCAGGGCCTTGCATAGTAGGCTGAAAAGTGCGTTCTGGCTACTAGGTACGACATATGTATATATATATATATATATATATATATATATATATATATATATATATATATATATATATATATATATATATATATATATATATTGTGACGGGAAAGTGTTGGAGTGTTGATGTTCGGCAGTCCTCCAATGGCAGGTGTCAATGCCTGGTCACAATGACAAAAAAAAAGATAGACTGCTTGCCTGTTGTCTGTGGTAAGTGAGAGGGAGGAACACGTAAAACACAAAGTATGGACAATGAAACTTTAATATATTTACTTTAAACATAAATGAAAATAAAGGCAAATCTCGAGCAAATGACTAATGAAATAAAATGACAAAGATAAATACAAAAAACACAATAGATTAAATAATGTTGAAATGGTGCTGAGAATATCGGATATGGCTGAAACCTCCCTTTGTATACGAGCTAATGAGCTAGTATGCCAGAGAGAGATGTCAACGCTAAGAGCACAAGGAATATTCTGAAGTTGATAGCTGGTCAGGCTCAGACGTCAACTCGGGTAGAGGGCGCCGAGGTGCGATGTGCAGGTGCGCGGCTGGCGAGTCACCAATCAGGGGCAGGCAAGCTGGTGAAGGGTAGTTAGCTGGTTTGATGACGAGCCGGCATGTGGAGGGTGTGTGGAGTGGGGGGATCTTGGATACGTTTTGCCTCCTGGTCAAAACGTTTTGTGCTACCGGTGACGTATCTTTAATGTAGCATCTTATACTTGTATTTTGGACGTAACTTGAAGTAGGGAAGAGCAGGCTCAATCTCTCTTGAAAGAGATTATCGTCACAATATATATATATATATATATATATATATATATATATATATATATATATATATATATATATATATATATATATATATATATATGTATGTATATGTGTGTGTGTGAACAAGCCTGAATGGTCCCCAGGCGTATATGCAACTGAAAACTGCACACCCCAAAAGTGACTCGAACACATATTACAGGACCACTATGCAACTGGTGAACAGGAGCCCTTAGCCACTCGACCATCACGACCAGACAAAGACGATGGTAGCCGAGGCTATTTCCCCATCATCTTGCTGGCGCTCTGATGGTAATCTTGGGCATGATATTTTATCAAATCACCTCATTTTTTGGGGCCACGTGAGCAAAACAAATGGGAACAAGCCTGAATGGTCCCCAGGCGTATATATAACTGAAAACTCCACACCCCAGAAGTTACTCGAACCCATACTGCCAGGAGCACTATGCAACTGGTGCACAGGACACCTTAGCCGCTCGACCATCACAACCGGACAGAGATGATGGTAGCCAAGGCTATTTCTCCATCATCCAGCTGGCGTTCTGATGGTTATCTGGGGCATTATATTTTATCAAATCACCTTATTTTTTGGAGCCACGTGAGCAACACAAATGCCAACAAGCTTGAATGGTCTTGTTCAAGCCTAAGATTGAGGCCGCCCTCACAGCAATTTCTGCTGTGAGGGCGGACTTTTCCTGTATTTTGGGGTTATATCAATGCAATAGTTGCAGTCTAAAAAGGTTAGAAATTATAGAAACCATTACAGTGAGTGTTACCTTAGCTATACGATAACAGCAGTTCTGAAATGTTCCAGTTAATGTTGTCAGAAATGTTACAAGGGTCACATTTCAGGCTTGTTACACTACTGCTGTCTGATTGGTGCTCCATCACTACTGCTATCTGATTGGTGCTATAACAGTTTTGGGTAAATTCAGGAATATATCCGACACTTCTTACTGAGAGCTGTCACCCGGGTTTGTATATAGTGTATATTCACGTGACACAGTATATCCAGTATAGGAATGTTATACAGTGAATGCATTGACAATAATCATTTAATTTTCAGGCACAGACACTATCTAATTATTGTGATAATATTTGTCACAGTATCTATGTTCAAAATTAGACGCCCATCTGTCATATATGAAAATAAGAGAACTGATAAGACAATCCACCAGGAGCCAGATTCATGAGGCAGTTACGCAAGAACTTACGAACCTGTACATCTTTCCTCAATCTTTGGCGGCTTTGTTTACAATTATTGAACAGTTAATGAGCCCCGAAGCACCAGGAGGCTGTTTATATCAATAACAACAATTGATTGGGAAGTTTTCATGCTTCTAAACTGTTTAATAAATGTAACCAAAGCCCTCAAAGATTGAGGAAAGAAGTACACGTTCGTAAGTACTTGCGTAACTGCTTTGTGAATCTAGGTCCAGGGCTATGAGGTAGGCGTGAACCAACTACCAAGGCATTGCCGGTCGTGTACTCTACCATTGGACCACTGTTGCTTGTTTATGTTATGGTCCATTTAGTTAAGGTTCTGGATTTTTGTCTCATATTTGTTTCACCTAACCACTGCATAAATAGTTCCAGATGTTGGTTTTGAATATCCTGAGTTAAGGGAAGTTACCGTGAGGCAAGCCTACAATATCAGCATCGAGGTTCAGATATCAGGCGCTCATGAGATAGCAAGAGTCGTCTCCCACACTGATCCCATCGACGTAACCATCAGTGAGGATAACAAGTCCGCACAGGTGAGATTGTATGACTTTCACAATGTGGAACCCTCGGACTGCTAAGGAAAAAATTCTTCATCCAAGTGCACTTAGGGGAAAAAAGTATTGAAAATTCGTAAGGATCAAGCGCACATGGACGCTTGGAGCATGTACGAGGACAAGTTAAGCAGGAGGCCATGCAATGGGATTGAACCGACAATCACCTGGACTCTTCGAGTACATGTACCCTATCGAGTTCAGGAACGCAGGTTCGATTCCCTTGTTCGGGCTCTTTATATATTCATAGATTCATCATTTTGTGAATTGTTCATTGTGCATTTGTGGGTAGTTGATACCTATTACTTTTTATTTATTTATTTATTTATTTTTTAATTTATTTATTTTTGTATTTACTTATTTATACAAGAAGGTACATTGGGTTTACGAGAGTACATAGCATTGATGTTTTTACATTTTTGCAAAGCCATTAACACGCATAACGTTTTGGGCAGGTTCTTAATCTGACAGATAATTATAAGTAGGTAATTTGAATTTGTAGCAAAATTTAAGATTATTAATAGGTACATTGTAGGATATCTTGAAGTATGTTAATAGGTACATTGTAGTAAAATTTAAAAATTATTAAGAGTGTAACAAACTAGGTTTGTTGTAAGAAATTATTTAGTATAGATTCTCATAGACATGGGGACCGAGTAGTTTTGAATGTTTGGAGTCAGACGGTACTCGACCTGACTCTGCAGAGAAAGGTCATCCCTCCAGAGATTAAAGGGATTAGCGTTTAAGATTACAAGATGGCTGGTTCTCTGTATTAATGCAACATGTAATGAATATGTCAACAAAATACAGTAATAACTAATGTGGCTTATGTATGTATGTTAGGTTTACATGTATGTAGAATGAAAATTGAGATCAGGGTAGTATACAGGCAGAGAAATGACGTCATGTGGAGGGACTAGTTTGTGTCCCGGATGACTCACAATGTCAAAGGTCACGCGGCCCACGAGAGTTGCCACATTAGTAATTCACAAGGTTCAAATTCAGATCACTAGCCCATATTGCAATTGGAAATAGCCTTTCCCTAAGATGCCTGTACAATTACTATCAGTTTTATAAGAGTTCAACCATCTGGGTTGTTCAGTACAATAGAGATTAGTGGTTCAATTTAAACCCTGCTTAGTAAAGTTATTAGACCTGGTGGAGTGATACTTACTAGCCTCACTAGTTGTGAGGAAGGCTAGGCGAGTCAGTGTGTATTCGGCCAGCAACTGGGAAGGTCAACCATTCTCACCTCTCCCGAGATCATCGTTCCATAGTCAAGGTAAAAGTTTGCTGAGTTTTGGTATAGGGAAATAATTCATTCGTGCCTCAATAGGGAATATTAAAAGTTTTTAATAATCATGTTAAGGAGTGTTAAATCAGGGAGTGATTTTTACTAGTTGTTTTCTAGATTTGCATAAATAAATGATTAGATTGTTCCTCGGTATTTTATTATTTCCATGAATAACTTTGCATGTGTTGATATCCTTGCTACGTGGTCTCCACGAGTCTGGGTTTATTTGGGTCGCAAGCCTAGCCTAGTTTAAGAGATAACATATCCCCTTGGTTTTCTGTAAATTTCCCACACTTAACGTAAATTTATCCCCCCTTTTCCAAGTAATTTGGGGATTAAGCCCCAAGGGTTTAAGGATTGATTAATTGGTCCAGACCCCAATTAATTGATAGCTTTTGGTTAATGGTCTGGTGGTGGCGGCGTAAAGAGATCCTTGAATTTGCTAGAAACCTAGTACGACGTCACGTAGCTGTAGAATCTTAGTCGATCGAGCGGCTAAGACCACGTGGTGTGGGACTCAGCTGAGAGTTAGCTCTGGGGTCCTTTGGAATTCGGTTTAAGTTTAAGTAATCATATTCACGGACAGGGTAAAGGACAGAGTAGAGCTAATATCGTCCCGTGTTACAAAAGGTACAATGAAGCATAATTTGAAGGTTATTAATAGGTACATTACAGCAACATTTGCATTCAACATAACAACTATAATATAAGTTGACAGCATGGAATACATTGGTGAAATTTGATATGTTAGGTACATATACTAGGGAAGTGGGTAGCACAAGATACAGTGCGAGTTTGAAGCACAAGGTAGGAAACTATGAGGATGAAATTAGGTACGTTTTTGTTTTACTTTGAATAAGGCATAGGTTGGACAGCTTTTTAATTCGTTAGGGTGTGAGTGCCATAGACTGGGTCCTTTTATTTGCATAGAGTGTTTGAACAGATTTAGTTTGACTCTGGGGATACCAAAGAGATATTTATTTCTGGTGTGGTACTCATGGGTTCTATTACATCCGTGAAGGAAGAGTTTCAGATCAAGATTAATGTTTAGTAACAAGGTTTTGTACATTGTAACAAGGTTTTTATACATTCTAAATAGCACATGAGAATGTGTGGAGTGATTGCATGTTTAGCATGTTAAGGAACTTTAATAGAGGGGGCTGTGTGTTGTCTGAAAGCAGAGTTTGCTATATTCCTGATAGCAGATTTTTGCTGGGTGATGATGGGCTTGAGGTAGTTTGCAGAGGTTGAAACCCATGCACAGATACATGGTAATCTATCCCTATATAAGATAAGGATATATTAGCACATAGTATAATGAGAGGAAAGCAGGGTGGGGGAACATAATATCTGATTATAGAGCGTATACCAACCGTTTTTGAGACTTTTTTGGTTACGTGTTGTATGTGGGTGCTGAAGTTGAGTCTCTTGTCTAAGTAAAACCAAGGTACTATTCATCATTTTTATTGTTGATGTTAACATTGTCTATCTGAAGCTGAGTTTCATTTGATGATTTGCTTCCAAATAAATATAGAAGATATTTTTTTATGTTTAGTGAAAGTTTGTTGGTTGACATCTATGAATGGACCTATTTTTAATTCATTATTTACAACATTATCTAGTCTGTTTGGGTTGGGGTCAGAGAAGATGAAGGTAGTATCGTCAGCAAACAATATAGATTTAAGAATGTTAGAGACATTAGGCAGATCATTGATGTATATAAGAAATAGGAGAGGTCCTAGGATGCTGCCATGTGGCACTCCTACAGTTAATGGTAGAGTGGGAGGGGGTTATATCACAACCCATCCTCCTGTTTAGATAGTACCTATTGACACGATCGTCAATAGTCCCGAATTCGTACGTACTTAGTTTTTAGATAGTAGTATACTGACTAGTAAGGAATTCTTAAAAAAAAGAAGCTAAAAAACTAACTTAAATATTCCTAGGCTTAGTATTGCACACATGTGTACTATATTAGGCCACAGATATTGTTTATTAGGCCTAGGAAGGTTAGGTTAAGCTAGCATATTTTGTCAAAGCAACACAAGTAAACAAAAGTTTCACGGATTGTCCAACTCAAAAGTTATGGTTTCTTCCTTCTAATTTCGTTGTACGTCGGTATATATACTATGATCCTCATCGGTACTATAAGTACTACCAAAACAGGAGGATGGGCTCTATGCCACTGATGGCTACATGTTGGTGTCTGTCACTAAGATAAGACCGAACATAGTTCAGAGCAAGGCCTCGGATACCATTATGGTGATGTTTAATTAAGAGGTAGTTATGGTTGACAGTATCAAAGGCTTTTCTCAGGTCAATGAAGAGGCTAATTGGGAACTCATTTTTGTGAAGGGCTGAGTAGATTATGTCAAGGAGACTAATAATGGTATCTTTGGTACTCTTTTTGGGAATGGAAAATGATTCTAGTAGTGATCACCTTTGTCTAATAAATAAAAACAAATAATCTCACCTCACTGCCCTGGTGGATTTGCTCACCAACCTTCCCAATTGACTTGCAATATAATAGTGGTTATCTGCTCCCGTGTGACCAGGTGAGGCAAGACGGAGGCTTCAGGAGTGACCACGACTGGAGTCTCCTGCTCTACTACGCCAACCCGTACAAGACTCGCGTGCTTCGAGAGACTGGAGACCGCTCCGCCACCGGACTCATGAAGGAAGACCTCGTTATGATCAATCTCTTCCCTGAGGTCCCGTCCAGCAGTTTCTCCAACAACAATGAGATCATCTTTATTATTGATCGCTCACGTAAGAATGAAACAATATGGTAACATTGTATATGAATTGAAACCTTTAGTTCAACACAATGAACAACATAGGCAAATTTATTATTAATGAATTCTGTTTATTTATGGTAATAATATTTCTTTAATCCAGTTCCATATGTTATATATGGTGCCCTGGAGACTCTCATACATACCAGGTCCCTTGGTACCTCCTTGGAGTTCGAACTCTGGTACCCAGAGCCTCTCATATTCTACATATACACCAAATACCAAGTGTAGTGCCTCCTCAGGGCTTGCACGGGTAAAGGCCTTGCATGGTATTCTGGATACCTGATTTACCTGAGGGCCACTAACCTTAGTGGCCTCGACGAGGACAGGAAGTTTGTTGAAGGTCCTCCCATTTGCCTTGATGATCTTTTTTACAGGGAGATTTTAAAACTTAACAAGAGTTTTGGCCTTAACGGCTTCGGCGGGTTGGCGATTCCACGGATTTTTAGCCCTGAGATACCAGGGCTAAAAATATCTGTATCTGGTATCCAATATCCTGGAACCAGATACTGATTTGTTGAGGAACAAATCGAGGAAACGATTTGTTGAAACGATTTTCCTTGATGAGGAAACCAAATACTGGAAACCGGTATCTGGTTTCGTCAACAAGAAGTGAGGTAAGCATAAAGGGGGTCTTAAATCACCGTACAATCAAGGCAAACTGCTTAAAGATTACAAACAAAACAAACCAACAACCACCAAGTTTTACTAAACGAAAAAAAATGTGGAAAATGAAGCGAATGATAGTTGGCAAGATGTACAAAATTCCAACCTCAACATGTTCCTAGCTCTGAGAATGTTCCTAGCTGTAGGAATGTTCCTAGCTGTAGGAATGTTCCTAGCTCTAAGAATGTTCCTAGCTCCAAGAATGTTCCTAGCTCTACGAATGTTCCTAGCTCCAAGAATGTTCCTAGCTCTCAGAATGTTCCTAGCTCCAAGAATGTTCCTAGCTCTCAGAATGTTCCTAGTTCTAAGAATGTTCCTAGCTGTAAGAATGTTCCTAGAATCTGAACCAGCATGGAACAGAGCAGAGCATGAACCAGCAAGGGACATTTAAAAGACGTTCTAGCGGCTCAGTTCAGTCGAGAAGCATCTGTCGTGAAGGCTACTTGATCAGGAAATGGTGTTACATACAGAGGAAGTTGCCAGTTCCACACTGAAGCGAAATGGTCCACGTGGAGATAACCAAACCCCTCGTATATATCTAATGATACACCTCCCTATCCATTGTAAACCAATGGATGAAAGACTCTCCATCCGCCAGCACGTCCGGTATTCCCTGAATTCAATATAAACCGCACTGAGGACTTGACCACGATATTCTAGAAAGGAAGCAATACTCAGGGTCCATCTTCACAAAGGCGGGGAACTAGTGCATCAGTGTATCCTCATATGCAAATGCAATCGTGAAATGGGAGGTAATCTGAATGAAGAAGGCTTATCAAACCTCGGATAAGAGAAGGATTCATTAAACTGCCACCAGACCACTGCAACGACGCGCACAGAGAGTAGTACAACTCTCTTCACCGAAGGCTGGTCCTCCATTGTGAATTGACCACTCAAGTTGAGGCAGTTGAAGAGCCTCTCACACTTCCGTTGTTACAATCGGCTCTAGCACAACAGATGACGATGGCCTCTGAGCAACGCCAGGCAAACTTTTACATGAGTTTACCTGAGAGCCACTAACAATAGCGGCCTTGACGAGGACGGGAAGCCGGCAGCATGTTGAAGCGGCATGTCCCCTCATTTGCCTTCATGACCTTTTCCAGTTGTACTTTAAATGTTAACAGTGTTTTGGCTTTTACGGCTTCGGCGGGTAGGCGGTTCCATGGGTTAATAACCCTGTGGGTGAAAAAGCATCTCCTGTTCGCAGTGCTTCATTGTGGCTTGTTGAGCTTTAACCCATTGCTCCTTGCTTGTATTACATCTGACCTTCTGAAGAACTTGTTCGGATCAACATCCTCTGAAAGAGATGAAAGCTATCCCGTTATTTCAATCCATCCCAAACCAAACAAGAGCTAGAGTTGGAACCAGTTGCGGCTATGGAAGGCCAAGGAATAAAAATATCCCTTAGCGGAGGATGAAAAAGACCTTGGGCCCAACAGGCAAAATGATGGCAATAAGGAAGACCATTGGGGACCAAAAACAGGACATTAAGGAAATCTAAAAGCAGCAGACTCAGGCCTTAGACAGACTGGTGGATACATAACAGCCATCCAAAAGTGAACAGGGTGAACAAATCTTCCTTGTACATGGGAAACCGAGTCTACCAACGTAGACAACATCTCCAGTTTGAGGTCAAACTGCGAGTAACACAAAGACGTATGCATACACCAAACCTCATCTTCATGCAACAAGGAAAGGCAAGGTTAGCAATGTTATTGGAAAAACAAAGAGCAGTCATTGTACATTCTCTGGCTAAATAATTCTGGCCACAAGAACAGCTCTCAGTCATCACAGCAAGGCAATGAGCCAGCGCTGATATAAACACAAGTACATAAGATTCAGAAAGAGAGAGCCAAAGACGTCGTCTTAAATGGAAGAAACACAGCAGCCTCATAAAACATATCTATAATGGTCATTGGTCTTTGCTGACGGCGACAGAGACCTCAGAGGTAAGGCGCAAGCAGCCAAAGATGTTCGCCCACACTCAACTAAAGCTGCACCTTATTATTAAAGCAAACCTTGAAGCATGGCTCTTCCTACACCGTGACAGGAACTTCTCCAAGGTGGCTATTTATACTAGTACAGAGAAAATACGGTTACTAGAACTGAAGTGATCACATCGACAGCAAGAGTGCTGGCCCTGGCCCTCTGGTGCATGCTGGCCCCGGCCCTCTGGTGCATGCTGGCCCCAGCCCTCTGGTGTGTGCTAGCCCCAGCCCTCTGGTGCGTGCTGGCCCCAGCCCTCTGGTGCATGCTGGCCCCGGCCCTCTGGTGCATGCTGGCCCCAGCCCTCTGGTGTGTGCTAGCCCCAGCCCTCTGGTGCGTGCTGGCCCCAGCCCTCTGGTGCGTGCTGGCCCCGGCCCTCTGGTGCGTGCTGGCCCCAGCTCTCTGGTGCGTGCTGGCCCTGGCCATCTGGTGCGTGCTGGCCCCAGCCCTCTGGTGCGTGCTAGCCCCGGCCCTCTGGTGCGTGCTGGCCCCAGCCCTCTGGTACATGCTGGCCCCAGCCCTCTGGTACATGCTGACCCCGGCCCTCTGGTGCGTGCTGGCCCTGGCCCTCTGGTGCGTCCTGGCCCCGGCCTCTGGTGCGTGTTGGCCCTGGCCCTCTGGTGCGTGCTGGCCCCGACCCTTTGGAACATTCTGACCCCAGCCCTCTGGTACATGCTGGCCCTGGCCCTTTGGTGCGTGGTGGCCCCGGCCCTCTGGTGCGTGCTGGCCCCGACCCTCTGGTGCGTGCTGGGCCGGCCCTCTGGTACATGCTGGCCCCGGCCCTCTGGTGCATGCTGGCCCCGGCCCCCTGGTGCGTGCTGGCCCCGGCCCTCTGGTGCGTGCTGGGCCGGCCCTCTGGTGCGTGCTGGCCCCGGCCCTGTGGTGCATGCTGGCCCCGGCCCTTCTGGTACATGCTGGCCCCGGCCCTCTGGTGCATGCTGGCCCCCAGCACTCTGCTGCGTGCTGGCCCGGGCCCTATGCTGCGTGCTGTCCCCGGCCCTCTGGTGTGTGCTGGCCCCAGCCCTCTGGTGCGTGCTGGCCCCGGCCCTTCTGGTACATGCTGGCCCCGGCCCTTCTGGTACATGCTGGCCCCGGCTCTCTGGTACATGCTCGCCCCGGCCCTCTGGTACATGCTCGCCCCAGCCCTCTGGTACATGCTGGCCCCAGCCCTCTGGTACATGCTGGCCCCGGCCATCTGGTGCATGCTGGCCCCAGCCGTCTGGTGCATGCTGGCCCCGGCCGTCTAGTACACGCTGACCCCGGCCCTCTGGTGCGTGCTGGCCCCGGCCATCTGGTGCATGCTGGCCCCGGCTCTCTGGTGCATGCTGGCCCAGGCCCTCTGATGCGTGCTGGCCTGGCCCAAGAACTCTTGTACATGTTGGCCCCGGCCCTCTGGTACATGCTGGCCCCGGCCCTCTGGTGCATGCTGACCCCAGTCCTCTAGTGCATGCTGGCCCCGGCCCTCGGGTGCGTGCTGGCCCCGGCCCTCTGTTGCATGCTCGCCCCGGCCCTGTTGTGAGCACTGGCCCGGGCACTTTGGTACTTCCTGGCCCTCTGGAGCATACTGGCCCCAGCCCTCTCGTGCGTGCTGGCCCCAGCCCTTTGGTGCATATTGGCCCCGGCCCTCTGGTACATGCTGGCTCCGGCCCTCTGGTGCGTGCTGGCCCTGGCCCTCTGGTGCGTGCTGGCCCCGGTCTTCTGGTGCATGCTGGCCTCAGCCCTCTGGTGCGTGCTGGCCCTGGCCCTCTGGTGCGTGCTGGCCCCGGCCCTCTGGTGCGTGCTGGCCCTGGCCCTCTGGTACATGCTGGCCCCGGTCTTCTGGTGCATGCTGGCCCCAGCCCTCTGGTGCGTGCTGGCCCTGGCCCTCTGGTGCGTGCTGGCCCTGGCCCTCTGGTGCGTGCTGGCCCCGGTCTTCTGGTGCATGCTGGCCCCAGCCCTCTGGTGCGTGCTGGCCCTGGCCCTCTGGTGCGTGCTGGCCCCGGCCCTCTGGTACATGCTGGCTCCGGCCCTCTGGTGCGTGCTGGCCCTGGCCCTCTGGTGCGTGCTGGCCCCGGCCCTCTGATGCGTGCTGGCCCCGGTCTTCTGGTGCATGCTGGCCCCAGCCCTCTGGTGCGTGCTGGCCCTGGCCCTCTGGTGCGTGCTGGCCCCGGCCCTCTGGTGCGTGCTGGCCCCGGCCGTTTTGGTGCGTGCTGGCCCCGGCCCTTTTGGTGCGTGCTGGCCCCGGTCCTCTGGTGCGTGCTGGCCCCGGTCCTCTGGTGCGTGCTGGCCCCGGTCCTCTGGTGCGTGCTGGCCCCGGCCCTTTTGGTGCGTGCTGGCCCCGGTCCTCTGGTGCGTGCTGGCCCCGGCCCTTTTGGTGCGTGCTGGCCCCGGTCCTCTGGTGCGTGCTAGCCCCGGCCCTTCTGGTGCGTGCTGGCCCCGGCCCTCTGGTGCGTGCTGGCCCCGGTCCTCTGGTGCGTGCTGGCCCCGGCCCTCTGGTGAGTGCTGGCCCCGGCCCTCTGGTGCGTGCTGGCCCTGGCCCTCTGGTGCGTGCTGGCCCCGGTCTTCTGGTGCATGCTGGCCCCAGCCCTCTGGTGCGTGTTGGCCCTGGCCCTCTGGTGCGTGCTGGCCCCGGCCCTCTGGTGCGTGCTGGCCCCGGCCCTTTTGGTGCGTGCTGGCCCCGGTCCTCTGGTGCGTGCTGGCCCCGGTCCTCTGGTGCGTGCTGGCCCCGGCCCTCTGGTGCGTGCTGGCCCCGGCCCTTCTGGTGCGTGCTAGCCCCGGCCCTTCTGGTGCGTGCTGGCTCCGGCCCTCTGGTGCGTGCTGGCCCCGGTCCTCTGGTGCGTGCTGGCCCCGGCTCTCTGGTGCGTGCTGGCCCCGGCCCTCTGGTGCGTGCTGGCCCCGGTCCTCTGGTGCGTGTTGGCCCCGGCTCTCTGGTGCGTGCTGGCCCCGGCCCTCTGGTGCGTGCTGGCCCCGGCCCTTCTGGTGCGTGCTAGCCCCGGCCCTTCTGGTGCGTGCTGGCCCCGGCCCTCTGGTGCGTGCTGGCCCCGGTCCTCTGGTGCGTGCTGGCCCCGGTCCTTTGGTGCGTGCTGGCCCCGGCCCTTTTGGTGCGTGCTGGCCCCGGCCCTCTGGTGCGTGCTGGCCCCGGCCCTCTGGTGCGTGCTGGCCCCGGTCCTTTGGTGCGTGCTGGCCCCGGCCCTCTGGTGAGTGCTGGCCCCTGCCCTCTGGTGCGTGCTGGCCCCGGTCCTCTGGTGCGTGCTGGCCCCGGCCCTCTGGTGAGTGCTGGCCCCGGCCCTCTGGTGCGTGCTGGCCCCGGTCCTTTGGTGCGTGCTGGCCCCGGCCCTCTGGTGCGTGCTGGCCCCGGCCCTCTGGTGAGTGCTGGCCCCGGCCCTCTGGTGCGTGCTGGCCCCGCTCCTTTGGTGCGTACTGGCCCCGGCCCTCTGGTGAGTGCTGGCCCCGGCCCTCTGGTACATGCTGGCCCCGGCCCTCTGGTGCGTGCTGGCCCCGGTCCTCTGGTGCGTGCTGGCCCCGGTCCTCTGGTGCGTGCTGGCCCCGGCCCTCTGGTGAGTGCTGGCCCCGGCCCTCTGGTGCGTGCTGGCCCCGGCCCTCTGGTACATGTGCTGGCCCCGGCCCTCTGGTGCGTGCTGGCCCCGGCCCTCTAGTACATGCTGGCCCCGGCCCTCTGGTACATGTGCTGGCCCCGGCACTCTGTTGCGTGCTGGCCCCGGCCCTCTAGTACATGCTGGCCCCGGCCCTCTGGTGCATGCTGGCCCCGGCCCTCTGGTGCATGCTGGCCCCGGCCCTCTGGTGCGTGCTGGCCCCGGCTCTCTGGTGCGTGCTGGCCCCGGCCCTCTGGTGCGTGCTGGCCCCGGCCCTCTGGTGCGTGCTGGCCCCGGCCCTCTAGTACATGCTGGCCCCGGCCCTCTGGTGCATGCTGGCCTCGGCCCTCTGGTGCATGCTGGCCCCGGCCCTCTGGTGCGTGCTGGCCCCGGCTCTCTGGTACATGCTGGCCCCGGCTCTCTGGTGCATGCTGGCCCAGGCCCTTCTGGTACATGCTGGCCCCGGCCCTCTGGTGTGTGCTGGCCCCAGCCCTCTGGTGCGTGCTGTCCCCGGCCCTCTGGTGTGTGCTGGCCCCAGCCGTCTGGTGCGTGCTGGCCCCGGCCCTTCTGGTACATGCTGGCCCCGGCCCTTCTGGTACATGCTGGCCCCGGCTCTCTGGTACATGCTGGCCCCGGCTCTCTGGTGCATGCTGGCCCAGGCCCTCTGATGCGTGCTGGCCTGGCCCAAGAACTCTTGTACATGTTGGCCCCGGCCCTCTGGTACATGCTGGCCCCGGCCCTCTGGTGCATGCTGACCCCAGTCCTCTAGTGCATGCTGGCCCCGGCCCTCGGGTGCGTGCTGGCCCCGGCCGTCTGTTGCATGCTCGCCCTGGCCCTGTTGTGAGTACTGGCCCGGGCACTTTGGTACTTCCTGGCCCTCTGGAGCATACTGGCCCCAGCCCTCTCGTGCGTGCTGGGCCCAGCCCTTTGGTGCATACTGGCCCCGGCCCTCTGGTACATGCTGGCTCCGGCCCTCTGGTGCGTGCTGGCTCTGGGCCTCTGGTGCGTGCTGGCCCTGGCCCTCTGGTGCGTGCTGGCCCTGGCCCTCTGGGGTGTGCTGTCTCCGGCCCTCTGGTACATGCTGGCCTTAGCCTTCAGGTGCATGCTGACCCCGGGCCTCTGGTGCGTGCTGGCCCCGGCCTTTTGGTACATGCTGGCCCCGGCCTTTTGGTACATGCTGACCCCAGCCCTGTGGTACATGCTGGCTCCGGCCTCTGGTGCGTGCTGGCCCTGGCCCTCTGGGGTGTGCTGATCCCAGCCCTCTGATAAATGCTGGCCCCGGCCCTCTGATGCGTGCTGGCCCCGGTCTTCTGGTGCATGCTGGCCCCGGCCCTTTTGGTGCGTGCTGGCCCCGGCCCTCTGGTGCGTGCTGGCCCCGGCCCTTTTGGTGCGTGCTGGCCCCGGCCCTCTGGTGCGTGCTGGCCCCGGCCCTCTGGTGCGTGCTGGCCCCGGCCCTTTTGGTGCGTGCTGGCCCCGGCCCTCTGGTGCGTGCTGGCCCCGGCCCTCTGGTGCGTGTTAGTGAGGGTTGTGTGGTGACTGATGACACTTTTCCAGCATTGAGAGACATGTGGCAACTATCAAAAGGGGGTCGATTATGATTCTAATTTCTCGGTGAAGCATTATGTGAATTTGGTTGAAGTTGGACACATTGAGAAGCGATCTGATAGGAAAATTCGTCTGTTGTATGGAGGCCTTTGTTATGAAGGTACCGAAGGATTGGTGGACGAGTTGGACCCACTCTGTACATTGGGATTTGCCGAGCCAATGACACGTCTATTGATTACTTACGACCAAAACCATAGAGCCTGTGATAATTGATCTTTGCTTGGCCCTCAGGGCCGCAGGGGATAACAACACTACACACCAGGCATGACATGACGGATCTCATTGAACCTTTCAAAATACTGAACAATTTGGAGGGTGTTGATCCGGACAATGTCTTCAGAAGGTCAGATGTAACACCAACAAGGAACAACGGGTTCAAGCTCAACAAGCCACAATGTTGGACTGAGAACAGGAGATGCTTTTTCCACCCACAGGGTTATTAACCCATGGAACAGCCTACCCGCCGAAGTCGTAAATGTCAAAACACTTGAACTTTTAAGTTACAGCTGGAAAAGATCATCAAGGCAAATGAGGGGAAGGATATTCGACCAGCTGCCGGCTTCCTGTCTTAATCGAAGACTAGTATTAGTGGCTCTCAGGTAAAACTTATATCTAATTGTTTATAAACATAGGAATTAAGGAAACAGCAGAAGGTATATTGGCCCAGACTGTTAATTAAGGTAGGGTTAATAGATATTTCCACTATAACTTTATCTATTTAGTACGTGAGTCTGTCTATTGCAGTGAGCATGCAAGATGAGAACATGCAGAGTGCCCGAGCAACACTGGCGATCTTTCTCAAGAGTTTACCCATTGGCTGCTTCTTCAATATCATTAGCTTCGGCCAGTATTACGAACTACTCTTTCCCGAGTAAGTCTACCAGATGATACATACTCAGGCACTATATAATACATGATACATGTTCAGGCACTATATATAATACATGATACATATTCAGGCACTATATAATACATGATACATGTTCAGGCACTATATATAATACATGATACATATTCAGGTACTATATAATCACTCAACTCTTCCTTAATTTGAGGTTTTGCTAGCATGAGTCTCTTATATATCTATAAGGAGTTGTAAGATCTGAAATTCCTTCACTGGTCATGTAATTGGCATTGTTATACTGTAATTGGCAAGGTTATACTGTAATTGGCAAAGTTATACTGTAATTGGCAAGGTTATACTGTAATTGGCAAGGGTATACTGTAATTGTCAATACTATACTGTAATTGGCAATGCTATACTGTAATTGGCAATGCTATACTGTAATTGGCAAGGTTTTACTGTGATTGGCCATGCTATACTGTAATTGGCAATGCTATACTGTAATTGACAAGGTTATACTGTAATTGACAAGGTTATACTGTAATTGGCAATGTTATACTGTAATTGGCAAGGTTATACTGTAATAATTATAATCATATTAATTTATATATTTATAAGATATTCAATGGATCAATTAGAATAATTGTATAGTTTATTAACCCACTAATTACGTGTAGCATTTCATGATATAATTTTAATGAGCGAACTGAGTTTACGCTTGTGCGATAAGTTTACAACTGAAGAATACATTAATAAAAATCATCTTTTTTTCCAAATATTACTGTATTTTCAGAGGGAGTCGTGAATACAATGAAAATACATTAGCAACAGCCTGTATTCTGCAGCAGACAATGGACTCCGACATGGGAGGCACAGAGATACTTGGCCCCTTACACAGTGTGTACTGTACACCCCCGAAGTCTGGACACTCAAGACAAGTATGTATTACAAGTATCTTAATAGTATCTCTAAGTATACTGCAGGTATCTTAGTAGTATCTATGAGTGTATTCCAAGTATCTTACTAGTATCTCTTGAGTGTACTGCAGGTATCTTAGGAGTATCTCTAAGTGTACTGAAAGTATCTTAGTAGTATCATATTTAAATCATATCATATGTATCATATTTAAACTACCTCAGTTTGTTTTAGTGTAACTTTAGTATTCAACTATCGTGTACTTATAATAGTATAGTAAGCAAGCTTTTCATTTTATAGATTTCATAATTGCTTTTTGACTTTTTTGGTCATCTATTGTGTTTAATTATTCTAGTTCATTTTTTACATTCCTAGTTCCCATTAAGTTTTTTTTACTTAAAATTACCATTAAGTTTATATTACTTTAGAATTTTTATTCTACTTTTTTCTTTGTTTTCTATTTTGTAATTTGCCATTCTTGCCTTGTTTTCCTGCAAACAGCCTTTTTATGCAGACAAGTATAGACCCAGAACTAAACCTCTTATCCACTATCTATGACAATCATCACTTTAATGGTCAAAATTGCAGATATTTTACAGCACATGATGTAATCAATGTATTAACAGATAATCACAATATCTCTGTAATCAACTTGAATGTTAGATCCCTAGGTAAACACTTCGATGATGTTAGTGCCTTGATTGAAACTATTGACAACAAATTCTCTTTTATTATACTCACGGAAATGTAGTTGAAAGAGGATACTACTCAACTCTTTAACATGCCTAACTACTCGGCAATTCACAACTGTCGTCAAATTCAGAGAGGTGGTGGTACTGCTCTTTACTACCACCAAGAACTAACATGCTTAAAAATAATTACAACTAGAGACTGCTGTGGGGAGTATATCTTCGCCAGTTTCAGAGTCATGGGTGCCGAGTCTGTCCTGTCTGTGGGTTCAGTCTATAGAATTCCTAACACTGATGTGTCCGAATTCAATTCAAACCTTAGAAATCTAATACTAGATAACAGACTGAACAAAAACCATCTAATTATTGCAGGGGGACTTTAATATTGACCTCTGCGAGCCTGAACACCCTACTGCTGTTAGCTTCTTCAACTGTATGAATTCCTGCTTCCTCATACCCTTAATCACTAGACCAACCAGAATCACTGATAGTACTACTACGACTCTAGATCACATCTGGACCAACATAACCTCTCCGCTTACTTCAGGTATAATCACAGATAGCACTACAGACCATTACCCCACATTTCTCTTAACTAACATTAACAAATCACCTCTTGAGTCAAAGGAGTTAAGCTTTAGGCTGCACAATGAAACTGCTATTAACAATTTTATAACTGCCGCTGATAATGTCAACTGGGAGTCCGAGTTAGGTAACACAGGGGACATCAACCTAGCAGTGCAATCTTTTCTTCAAAGAACTCTTAGCCTTTATAACACCCACTGTCCTATGTTTACAAAACAAGTCACAAACAAAAGGCTTAACAATCCTTGGCTTACAAAGGGAATACTTAAATCCATTAATAAAAAACATGACCTTGAGAAGAAGTATAGGTTAGGAACCGTCTCCAAAGAATTCTCAAAGAATTACTCATCATTGCTATCTAAAATAATTTGACGAGCCAAAACTAAATACTATGAAGATAAATTTACCCAAATAAAGAGCAACATTAAAAAAACTTGGAGCACAATTTCACAAATATTGGGATCAAAGAAGATTTTAAATAACAAACTAACACTCCTGTCCAATAACGTTGGTCAGCTTTCAGCCTCTGATTCTGCTATTGAGTTCAATAGGTTCTTCTCTTCCATTGGGTCATCCCTTGCAAATGATATTCCATCTTCCAGTACTGATGTTAAGGACTATCTTACAGGTAACTATCCACAGTCTTTGTACCTAAAGCCTACTAATTCCACTGATGTCAATGAAATAATCCTTTCCCTTAAAACCAAGTCTAGTGCCCTCGAGGAGATACCAACTTTAATTTACAAAAAAGCCTCCAGATCTTTAGCCCCTGCTATTGCATTGCTCTTCAACAAGTCACTGGAACTCCAAACCTTTCCAGACATTCTAAAAAAAAGCAAGAGTAACCCCTGTCCACAAATGTGGTGATCTCACAGATGTTAACAACTACAGACCTATATCAATCCTGCCTAACTTGTCTAAAATATTTGAAAAACTAATCTACAAGCAGCTTTACTCTTTTCTAGCCAAACACAATATACTTAGCTCTTGTCAATATGGCTTCAGACCCAAAAAAAGCACTAACGATGCACTTATTAGTATGATTAATTTGATTCACGCAGCTCTTGATAAAAAGGAGTTCCCTGTTGGGTTATTTGTGGACCTTCGTAAGGCTTTTGACACTGTCAACCACCAAAACCTTCTTCTTAAATTACATCATTATGGAGTCAGAGGACACTCCCTGCAATACCTCAAATCTTACCTTACTGACAGGCTCCAGTATGTTTCTGTGAATAATACAATTTCTCCCACCCTACCCATCAACATTGGTGTTCCTCAGGGCAGCATACTTGGCCCTCTCCTCTTACTCATCTACATTAATGGCCTTCCAAATGCCTCCCAACACCTCAAAGCAATTCTATTTGCTGACGACACAACCTTCATTTACTCTAGTCCTGACCCCCTTGCTCTAAATGCCACAGTAAATACTGAGCTAAAGAAAGTCCATCTTTGGCTAACTGCTAACAAACTCACCCTTAACATTGACAAAACGTTCTATATTCTGTTTAGCAATAAATCCTCTAATCAAATAAATCTCAAAATAAACACTACCCAAATTTGTAACAAATTAGATGGCCAATTCATTGGCGTTCTCATCGACCACAAGCTGAATTTCCAGGGACACATTCTAATATATCAAAAAAAGTTTCAAAAACTGTTGGCATTCTTTCTAAGATCAGATATTATGTACCCCGCCCTGCCCTGGTGACTCTCTATTACTCCCTCATCTATCCATATCTCAACTATGTTATTTGTGCTTGGGGAACTACTACCCAAAATCATTTACGTCCTCTAATTACTCAACACAAAGCTGCTATTAGGACAATATCCAACTCTAGCCCCAGACATCACTCGGTACCCCTACTCAAATCTCTGAATATGTTAGATATTAAGTCACTGCACATTCTCTCATGTGTATTATACATATATAAAACGCTGAACTGTAATGCCAATCCTGACCTCAAATGATTCATTGAAGGTTGTAACAGAACCCATGAGCACCATACCAGAAATAAATACAGTTTTGATATTTCTAGAGTACGACTTAATCAAACTAGAAATGCTCTTCAAATCAAGGGACCCAGAATGTGGAATGACCTTCTCAACCATGTTAAAGACTGTACCTCTCTCAACCAGTTTAAGATAAAAACGAAGCACTACCTAATAAATTCCCTGTAACCTACCTTACCCCTCTGTTGTCAACCCATGTCTGTTTTTTTTCAAAACAACGCTGTTTGAATGTAATTGTCTGTAATAATTTGTAATTGTATTTGTGCTGCTTTTTCAGCCATGTTCCCCCCTCTTTTACCTCTATTTTTATTTGTTCTCAACACATTATATTCTTTATACCCATTAGTATTAAGCTTTAGTCATTAATGTTTTTCCTGCCCGAAACGCTTTACGTAATAGTGGCTTTAGGCATTGTATGTACTAGCCCTAACTATTAATCCAACAAACTTTGTAAAATCTCTTGTATGTATGTACCTTACCTAAATAAACATTTATTTATTATCTATGAGAGTATTACGAGTATCTTAGTAGTATCTATAAGTGTATTATAAATATCTTAGTAGTATCTCTAAGTGTACTGCAAGTATCTTAGTTGTATCTATAGGTGTACTGCAGGTATCTTAATAATATCTACAAGTATATTACACGTATGTTAGTAGTATCTATAAGTGTTCTGCAAGTATCTTAGTAGTATCTATAAGTGTACTGCAAGTATCTTAGTAGTATCTATAAGTGCACTGTAAGTATCTCAGTAGTATCTATAAGTGTATTGCAAGTATCCTAGTAGTATCTATAAGTGTACTGCAAGTATCTTAGTAGTATCTATAAGTGTACTGCAAGTGTCTTAGATGTATCTTTAAGTGTACTGCAAGTGTCTTAGATGTATCTTTAAGTGTACTGCAAGTGTCTTAGATGTATCTATAAGTGTACTGCAAGAATCTTAGACGTATCTATACATGTACTGCAAGTATACATATAAGTATACTCCCTTTAAGAACGAATGAGTGATTTTTGCCCCGAATTTCCCACATAAGAAACCTTTAAGAACGAATGAGTAATTTTACAAAAAACGAAAACTCACTGCTAAGATGTCTATTTTTTGGCGCCTTCAACCCCACTACTGGGTTATATATAGTCCTGCTGGTGGATGTTCAACACTACTACTGGCGTATATATAGTCCTGCTGGTGGATGTTCAACACTACTACTGGCTTATATATAGTCCTGTTGGTGGATGTTCAACACTACTACTAGCTTATATATAGTCCTGCTGGTGGATGTTCAACACTACTACTGGGTTATATATAGTCCTGCTGGTGGATGTTCAACACTGCTACTGGCTTATATATAATCCTGCTGGTGGATGTTCAACACTACTACTGGGTTATATATAGTCCTGCTGGTGGATGTTCAACACTACTACTGGCTTATATATAGTCCTGCTGGTGGATGTTCAACACTATTACTGGGTTATATATAGTCCTGCTGGTGGATGTTCAACACTACTACTGGCTTATATATAGTCCTGCTGGTGGATGTTCAACACTACTACTGGGTTATATATAGTCCTGCTGGTGGATGTTCAACACTACTACTGGCTTATATATAGTCCTGCTGGTGGATGTTCAACACTACTACTGGCTTATATATAGTCCTGCTGGTGGATGTTCAACACTACTACTGGCTTATATATAGTCCTGCTGGTGGATGTTCAACACTACTACTGGGTTATATATAGTCCTGCTGGTGGATGTTCAACACTACTACTGGGTTATATATAGTCCTGCTGGTGGATAATCAACACTACTACTGGGTTATATATAGTCCTGCTGGTAGCATAAGGAAGCAGACTACTCCTGGTGCTCTTGGGTTCTACGCTTCACCTCCTTCACTCCCTGTTCTCCTACTACGATGCGTGACGGTTATCGTGTGAGAAATAGTTTAGTTACCCCTTATTGTCTTTCGTGTAAAGTAAACATATTAAGTTAATTTCTCGTGTTTTTGTCGAGTATTATATCAGAAAGTATTTTGTTGTAATGATTGAAGTTATAGTAAAGTGTTTAATTGTTTCTGTTTAGTGTTTAATCCTGCAACTTTAACACCACAAAGGGAAAGCAGCATTTATTTACTTTGTTTTACTTTTGTTTTGTTTAATGTGCCTAAGAGCAAATTTTTGCTCGCATGTATTAGCTGCGCTATCAAAAAACACGTCACAATCTATAATCGTACTACAAATATCTAAAATTATCTATAATTGTACTACAAGTATCTTGGTGGTATCTACACGTCGTATCTCTGTAGTATCTACAAATAAAAATTACAAGTAGGCACTGACGAAGGGATAATGAGGAAACACCATCAATATATAATCCTCACGAATCAGCTCATCACTATACTGTTCCGCAATAACTGGTTTCAAGTTACAGTCGTTGGTATGGTGATGTAGTTCCACATAGAACTACAATAGGCTATATAGCCGCAATAGGCTGCTGCATAGGTTGCTGCAGTTGAGTCAAGATCATCTATGGTTGCTATAAGGTGAGTCAAGTTCATCTACAGTTGCTGCAGGTGAGTCATGATCACCTACGGCTGCTGCAGGTGAGTCAAGATCACCTACGGCTGCTGCAGGTGAGTCAAGATCACCTACAGTTGCTGCAGGTGAGTCAAGATCAGCTACAGTTGCTGCAGGTGAGTCAAGATCACCTACAGTTGCTGCAGGTGAGTCAAGATCACCTACAGTTGCTGCAGGTGAGTCATGATCACCTACAGTTGCTGCAGGTGAGTAAAGATGACCTACAGTTGCTGCAGGTGAGTCATGATCACCTACAGTTGCTGCAGGTGAGTCAAGATCACCTACAGTTGCTGCAAGTGAGTCAAGATCACCTACGGCTGCTGCAGGTGAGTCAAGATCACCTACAGTTGCTGCAGGTGAGTCAAGATCACCTACAGTTGCTGCAGGGGAGTCAAGATCACCTACGGCTGCTGCAGGTGAGCCAAGATCACCTACGGCTGCTGCAGGTGAGTCAAGATCACCTACGGCTGCTGCAGGTGAGTCAAGATCACCTACGGCTGCTGCAGGTGAGTCAAGATCACCTATGGCTGCTACAGGTGAGTCAAGATCACCTACAGTTGCTAGAGGTGAGTTGGAATCCCGTTCACGACGGCAATGATTTTACGCTTTTCCTATCCCCTTGATGCACCTGTTCACCTAGCAGTAAGTTGGTTCCCCAGGCGTTAATTTCAACTTGTTGTAGGAATTAACTTCAAATTTTAATTTCAGATCCTTCTGATCTCTGACGGAGGCGTGTGGAATGTTGAGGAGGTGGTGCAGCTAGTGCGGCGCCACGCTCACCATACCCGGGTGTTTGCTGTGGGCATCGGGCACGGCGCCTCTACTGCTCTCATACAAGGGGTGGCCCGGGCCGGCGGAGGCCGCTCAGAGATGGTTCTCCAGCAGGATATGCTTCAGGATAAGGCAAGGTTTTATAAGCCTTCGTCACACATACATAGCTTGAAAATAGTTGCAAGTTGTCAAAGATAATGTTTAATGTTTTCCTTCAAACGCAAGAGGTCACCAACAGTTACTGTGGCTGGTGGTCACCAACAGTTTCTGTGACTGGTGGTGGCCACCAACAGTTACTGTGGCTGGTGGTCACCAACAGTTTCTGTGACTGGTGGTGGTCACCAAGAGTTACTGTGACTGGTGGTCACCAACAGTTACTGTGACTGGTGGTGGTCACCAAGAGTTACTGTGACTGGTGGTCACCAACAGTTACTGTGACTGGTGGTCACCAACAGTTACTGTGACTGGTGGTGGTCACCAACAGTTACTATGACAGGTGATGGGGCTGGTGAGCTCGATGGTGCAGGAGACTGTGAGGGACGTGACTGTGTCTTGGGAGCTGGAGCCCAACACTTGTGTCAGGCTGGTGCCCAAGGTCCCGCCTGTCATCTTTGGTGGGCAACATCTCACCCTTTATGCCCGGGTGCCCTCTGCCACCACTGTAAGTATGCCCTCTGCCACCACTGTATGCCCGGGTGCCCTCTGCTACCACTGTAAGTATGCCTTCTGCCACCACTGTATGCCCGGGTGCCCTCTGCTACCACTGTAAGTATGCTCTCTGCCACCACTGTATGCCCGGGTGCCCTCTGCTACCACTGTAAGTATGCCTTCTGCCACCACTGTATGTATGCCCAGGTGCCCTCTGCTACCACTGTAATTATACCCTCTGACACCACTGTATGCCCGGGTGCCCCCTGCTACCACTGAAAGTATGCCCTCTGCCACCACTGTATGTATGCCCTGGTGTCCTCTGCTACCACTGTAAGTATGCCCTCTGCCACCACTGTATGTATGCCCGGGTGCCCCCTGCTACCACTGTAAGTATGCCCTCTGTCACCACTGTATGTATGCCCGGGTGCCCTCTGCTACCAATGTATGTATGCCCTGGTGCCCTCTGCTGCCAATGTATGTATGCCTTCTGCCACCACTGTATGTATGCCCGGGTGCCCTCTGCTACCAATGTATGTATGCCCTGGTGCCCTCTGCTGCCAATGTACGTATGCCTTCTGCCACCACTGTATGTATGCCCGGGTGCCCTCTGCTACCAATGTATGTATGCCCTGGTACCCTCTGCTGCCAATGTATGTATGCCTTCTGCCACCACTGTATGTATGCCCGGGTGCCCTCTGCTACCAATGTATGTATGCCCTGGTGCCCTCTGCTGCCAATGTATGTATGCCTTCTGCCACCACTGTATGTATGCCCGGGTGCCCTCTGCTTCCACTGTAAGTATGCCCTCTGCCACCACTGTATGCCCGGGTGCTCTCTGCTACCACTGTAAGTATGCTCTCTGCCACCACTGTATATATGCCCGGGTGCCCTCTGCTACCACTGTAAGTATGCCTTCTGCCACCACTGTATGTATGCCCGGGTGCCCTCTGCTACCACTGTAAGTATGCCCTCTGCCACCACTGTATGCCCGGGTGCCCTCTGCTACCACTGTAAGTATGCCCTCTGCCAACACTGTATGCCCGGGTGTCCTCTGCTACCACTGTAAGTATGCCTTCTGCCACCACTGTATGCCCGGGTGCCCTCTGCTACCACTGTAAGTATGCCTTCTGCCACCACTGTATGCCCGGGTGTCCTCTGCTACCACTGTAAGTATGCCCTCTGCCACCACTGTATGTATGCCCGTGTGCCCTCTGCTACCACTGTAAGTATGCCCTCTGCCACCACTGTATGTATGCCCTGGTGTCCTCTGCTACCACTGTAAGTATGCCCTCTGCCACCACTGTATGTTTGCCCGGGTGCCCTCTGCTACCACTGTAAGTATGCCCTCTGCCACCACTGTATGTATGCCCGGGTGCCCTCTGCTACCACTGTAAGTGTGCCCTCTGCCACCACTGTATGTATGCCCGGGTGCCCTCTGCTACCACTGTAAATATGCCTTCTGCCACCACTGTATGTATGCCCGGGTGCCCTCTGCTACCAATGTATGTATGCCCTGGTGCCCTCTGCTGCCAATGTATGTATGCCTTCTGCCACCACTGTATGTATGCCCGGGTGCCCTCTGCTACCACGGTAAGTATGCCTTCTGCCACCACTGTATGTATGCCCGGGTGCCCTCTGCTTCCACGGTAAGTATGCCTTCTGCCACCACTGTATGTATGCCCGGGTGCCCTCTGCTTCCACGGTAAGTATGCCTTCTGCCACCACTGTATGTATGCCCGGGTGCCCTCTGCTACCACTGTAAGTATGCCCTCTGCCACCACTGTATGTATGCCCGGGTGCCCTCTGCTTCCACGGTAAGTATGCCCTCTGCCACTACTGTATGTATGCCCGGGTGCCCTCTGCTACCACTGTAAGTTTGCCCTCTGCCACCACTGTATGTATGCCTGGGTGCCCTCTGCTACCACTGTTAGTATACCCTCTGCCACCACTGTATGTATGCCCGGGTGCCCTCTGCTACCACTGTATATATGCCCGGGTGCCCTCTGCTACCACTGTAAGTATGCCTTCTGCCACCACTGTATGTATGCCCGGGTGCCCTCTGCTACCACTGTAAGTATGCCCTCTGCCAACATTGTATGTATGCCCGGGTGCCCTCTGCTACCACTGTAAGTATGCCCTCTGCCACCACTGTATGCCCGGGTGCCCTCTGCTACCACTGTAAGTATGCCCTCTGCCACCACTATATGCCCGGGTGTCCTCTGCTACCACTGTAAGTATGCCTTCTGCCACCACTCTATGCCCGGGTGCCCTCTGCTACCACTGTAAGTATGCCTTCTGCCACCACTGTATGCCCGGGTGTCCTCTGCTACCACTGTAAGTATGCCCTCTGCCACCACTGTATGTATGCCCGTGTGCCCTCTGCTACCACTGTAAGTATGCCCTCTGCCACCACTGTATGTATGCCCTGGTGTCCTCTGCTACCACTGTAAGTATGCCCTCTGCCACCACTGTATGTTTGCCCGGGTGCCCTCTGCTACCACTGTAAGTATGCCCTCTGCCACCACTGTATGTATGCCCGGGTGCCCTCTGCTACCACTGTAAGTGTGCCCTCTGCCACCACTGTATGTATGCCCGGGTGCCCTCTGCTACCACTGTAAATATGCCTTCTGCCACCACTGTATGTATGCCCGGGTGCCCTCTGCTACCAATGTATGTATGCCCTGGTGCCCTCTGCTGCCAATGTATGTATGCCTTCTGCCACCACTGTATGTATGCCCGGGTGCCCTCTGCTACCACGGTAAGTATGCCTTCTGCCACCACTGTATGTATGCCCGGGTGCCCTCTGCTTCCACGGTAAGTATGCCTTCTGCCACCACTGTATGTATGCCCGGGTGCCCTCTGCTTCCACGGTAAGTATGCCTTCTGCCACCACTGTATGTATGCCCGGGTGCCCTCTGCTACCACTGTAAGTATGCCCTCTGCCACCACTGTATGTATGCCCGGGTGCTCTCTGCTTCCACGGTAAGTATGCCCTCTGCCACTACTGTATGTATGCCCGGGTGCCCTCTGCTACCACTGTAAGTTTGCCCTCTGCCACCACTGTATGTATGCCCGGGTGCCCTCTGCTTCCACGGTAAGTATGCCCTCTGCCACTACTGTATGTATGCCCGGGTGCCCTCTGCTACCACTGTAAGTTTGCCCTCTGCCACCACTGTATGTATGCCTGGGTGCCCTCTGCTACCACTGTTAGTATACCCTCTGCCACCACTGTATGTATGCCCGGGTGCCCTCTGCTACCACTGTATATATGCCCGGGTGCCCTCTGCTACCACTGTAAGTATGCCTTCTGCCACCACTGTATGTATGCCCGGGTGCCCTCTGCTACCACTGTAAGTATGCCCTCTGCCAACATTGTATGTATGCCCGGGTGCCCTCTGCTACCACTGTAAGTATGCCCTCTGCCACCACTGTATGCCCGGGTGCCCTCTGCTACCACTGTAAGTATGCCCTCTGCCACCACTATATGCCCGGGTGTCCTCTGCTACCACTGTAAGTATGCCTTCTGCCACCACTCTATGCCCGGGTGCCCTCTGCTACCACTGTAAGTATGCCTTCTGCCACCACTGTATGCCCGGGTGTCCTCTGCTACCACTGTAAGTATGCCCTCTGCCACCACTGTATGTATGCCCGTGTGCCCTCTGCTACCACTGTAAGTATGCCCTCTGCCACCACTGTATGTATGCCCTGGTGTCCTCTGCTACCACTGTAAGTATGCCCTCTGCCACCACTGTATGTTTGCCCGGGTGCCCTCTGCTACCACTGTAAGTATGCCCTCTGCCACCACTGTATGTATGCCCGGGTGCCCTCTGCTACCACTGTAAGTGTGCCCTCTGCCACCACTGTATGTATGCCCGGGTGCCCTCTGCTACCACTGTAAATATGCCTTCTGCCACCACTGTATGTATGCCCGGGTGCCCTCTGCTACCAATGTATGTATGCCCTGGTGCCCTCTGCTGCCAATGTATGTATGCCTTCTGCCACCACTGTATGTATGCCCGGGTGCCCTCTGCTACCACGGTAAGTATGCCTTCTGCCACCACTGTATGTATGCCCGGGTGCCCTCTGCTTCCACGGTAAGTATGCCCTCTGCCACCACTGTATGTATGCCCGGGTGCCCTCTGCTTCCACGGTAAGTATGCCTTCTGCCACCACTGTATGTATGCCCGGGTGCCCTCTGCTACCACTGTAAGTATGCCCTCTGCCACCACTGTATGTATGCCCGGGTGCTCTCTGCTTCCACGGTAAGTATGCCCTCTGCCACTACTGTATGTATGCCCGGGTGCCCTCTGCTACCACTGTAAGTTTGCCCTCTGCCACCACTGTATGTATGCCCGGGTGCCCTCTGCTACCACTGTAAGTATGCCCTCTGCCACCACTGTATGTATGCCCTGGTGCCCTCTGCCACCACTGTATGTATGCCCTGGTGCCCTCTGCCACCACTGTAAGTGTGCCTTCTGCCACCACTGTATGTATGCCCGGGTGCCCTCTGCTACCAATGTATGTATGCCTGGGTGCCCTCTGCTACCACTGTTAGTATACCCTCTGCCACCACTGTATGTATGCCCGGGTGCCCTCTGCTACCACTGTAAGTATGCCTTCTGCCACCACTGTATGTATGCCTGGGTGCCCTCTGCTACCAATGTATGTATGCCCTCTGCCACCAATGTATGTATGCCCGGGTGCCCTCTGCTGCCAATGTATGTATGCCTTCTGCCACCACTGTATGTATGCCCGGGTGCCCTCTGCTACCACGGTAAGTATGCTCTCTGCCACCACTGTATGTATGCCCGGGTGCCCTCTGCTTCCACGGTAAGTATGCCTTCTGCCACCACTGTATGCATGCCCGGGTGCCCTCTGCTTCCACGGTAAGTGTGCCTTCTGCCACCACTGTATGTATGCCCGGGTGCCCTCTGCTACCACGGTAAGTATGCCCTCTGTCACCACTGTATGTATGCCCGGGTGCCCTCTGCTTCCACGGTAAGTATGCCT